GAGCTTGGGCGTGGGCTGGGCCGGTGTCACAGCCTGTGCTCCGTGTGCCCGCAGCGCGGAGCGCTTCGACCCCCTGACGGGCACCTGGACCTCCATCGCCGCCATGAGCACCAGGAGACGCTACGTCCGGGTGGCAACGCTAGGTGGGTGATGGGTGGGGACCTGCCCGCCCTCCCTGCAGCCTGCCTGGGTGTTCCTTTTGGTGTTGTGCTCTTCTGGTTCCTGCCCCTTCTTCCCAGGTTTGCTAGCTGTGAGTTAGCCAGCCCAGCCCTGCCTCTGCCACGCTCCCTGCCCCTGCCCTCCTCGCCACTGGGTTGCTTCACATCCTGGAGGCAGCTCCTGAGGGAACCCACGACTTGTTCCTCAGCTCCTTTGTGCCCCTTCTGCTTTGGAGAGAGAGGGTTGGCTGTGGATGATCAGCTATCTCCTATCATCTATCCCAACCTTATTGCTGCTTTGTTATGAAGGCAGGACAGCCCTTTTGCTGACGATCCAAGCAGTAGCACAGGGTCAAAAGAGTCTCTGGCAGGGGTGTCACAACATCAGGCACAATGCTGTGATGTGTCCTGACTCCACTGAGTGAGCTCTGTCCTTAAGGAGGGTGCAGTGTGAGAACTGCCCAGTTCAGGGCAGCCATGGGGTTAATGCAAGTACCACTCTCCACCCGAGCAGGGGCTGGAGGTCCCTGGGGGTGCCAGGGTAGCACACTGCTCCTCACCTTCCCCATGTCCCTGCAGTGCCCCATTCTCCCCTTTCAGCTCTTGGTTCCCTCCCCTCCATCACCAGCACACTCTCTCCCTGCTGCAGCCTTTGTTGGTGTTCCTCTGCTCCAGCTAAAAATAACCATGGCCCTGGCAGGGAGCACTTGTAGCTCCCATAACGAGCAGGTCAAGAAGCAGCAGGAAAAGGAGCTCTTTGGGAAGCTCAAAGTGTGGCAGAGAAATTGCCTGGTGACAGCTTCACAGTGCTGCAAGGGGAGGGGTTGCTGGGGGAGCCCTGCTGAGAGGAGGGGCTTGGGAGGCCCTGCAGCTCAGCTGAGACCTACCTGGGCACCTCTGTGACCTGTGTGAGGCTGTGCTGGGACCAGGGCTGTGCCACTGGGCTAACTGCTCTGCCTGTGTGACTCTCTCTGCAGAAGGCAACCTCTATGCCGTGGGGGGATATGACAGCTCATCCCACTTGGCCACAGTAGAAAAGTATGAGCCCCAGGTAAGTACAAAAGCATGCCTGGTAACCCTCTTCCTTTTCTCCTTATGGGAGCCTGAGGAGTCCCTGCAGAAAGCTGGGTGCTACCCAAGTTGCTAGAGAGCTTAGCAGATGGTGAGAGACCAGGTGTGAACCACTGCTGGAGCTTCAGGTGGGACCACTTCCTAGCAAAGCATGGTGGCAGCAGCAGAGCAGAAGGTGTGTCCACGTGAGGCTGTGCAGCACAGACCTGCCTGTCCCCTTGGAGACAAGCCACTGTGTGTGGCTAGGAGATGGAGTGGGTACCAGCCCCCTCCCCAGTGCTGGGGCAGGGTAGCAGGGGGGCAATCCAGGGCAAAGTGAGTCAAAGCTCATCCCTGAAGGCTCTGAGAGGTCTCTTTGAGATCTCAGAACACTCTATCCCTGTTGCTTGTAGGCCAGCTCAAGTTCTCTAGCAAGAACAGTTCCTGTACATGCCCTGAGCTGTCTCCAGCTGAGGTCCTGGCTGCACACACATCCAGAGCAGTTCGTGGGGATTGTGGCAGGCTGGGGGCATGTGCTGGGTGTGGGATCTCACAGCTCTGTTAGAGCAGGCTACAGCACTGCAAAAAGATCAAAGAGAAGGTCCTGGAGGATTTTCAGGAGCTGTAAAGCCACAGCTGTGACTTGTACAGAGTTGAAATAGATACAGCTCAGCCCCTGTGGCCGGGCAGGGATTTGACTGGTGGCCTGGCACAGAGATCTCATGCCCCTGGGGTGGCAGGACTCGCTGTGGCTGTGCTTTCCTCAGCCAGCTGGCAAAGCTCTGCAGCTCTTCCTGCGGGACAGCTGAAAGGCAAGAAGTGGGGTGCCCCAAAACAGCCTTTTTGAGGGAGAACTCACGTCAGGAGCAGTGTGGTTGGAGCAGGACTAGTATCAGAGGACTGGTTTGGCCAGGGCTAGGTGGGAAATGTCCCTCTGGCTCAGGAGCACACGTTGCCTCTTCCCAGATCAACACCTGGACGCCCATTGCCAACATGCTGAGCCGCCGGAGCAGCGCCGGCGTGGCCGTGCTGGAGGGGATGCTCTACGTGGCTGGTGGCAACGATGGCACCAGCTGCCTTAACTCTGTGGAGCGCTACAACCCCAAAACCAACACGTGGGAGAGCGTGGCACCCATGAACATCCGCAGGTAAGGAGCTCTGAGAGTCACAGGATCGTTTGGATCAAAGAGACCTTTCAGCAAAGTCATCAGATCCAACCGTGCCCCCAGCACTGCCAGGGCACACCAGCCTGTGTCCCTCAGCACCACGTCTCCATGGCTTGGAAACCCCTCCAGGGATGGGGACTCCACCACTGCCCCGGGCAGCGTGGGCCAGGAATCCCTTCTCACTGAGGAATCCCTTCTCACTGAGAGCCTTGCTTTGCTTGGCACAGCAAGCCATAAAATGCAGACCGTGCCCCAGGGCTTGGCCACCTCTGCAGCTGCCTGGCTCTGCTGCCTGCACGGCCTGGGGGGGTGTGCCAGGAGGGCAGGGCAGGGACCTCCTGCAGCAGATGCTTTCTGCAGAGGGATTTATTCTCAGCAGGCTGCGTGGCCCTGAGGAACCAGGTGGTGTAGCTGGCTGAGGAGATGTTGCTGGACTTTGGGGGGGATTTAAGGCTTGCAAGCCCAGGAGTTTTGGGCTGCTAGGGTGTGTTATTTGGAGGTGGCACTTCTCCAGTGGGAGGAGGGTATCAGAGTGAAGAGGAAGGTCTGGTGCTCTCTACTGCACTCTGCCAGTGGCTGAGCCCTGGCAGCTCCTTCTCCCCGGGCGTTTGTGAGGCTGGGCACTCCCTTTTGTGGGGTGGCAGAGCTGTGGCCAGTCCAGCCGAGACGCTGAGCTCCCCTGCACCCCACATACACCCTGTGGGTGCCTCACACCCCCGCGGTCTCTGCGTGGTCGTTCCAGGAGCACCCACGACCTGGTGGCCATGGATGGGTGGCTGTATGCAGTGGGTGGCAACGACGGGAGCTCCAGCCTCAACTCCATCGAGAAGTACAACCCTCGTACCAACAAGTGGGTGGCAGCCTCCTGCATGTTCACACGCCGCAGCAGCGTGGGGGTGGCCGTGCTGGAACTCCTCAACTTCCCACCCCCTTCCTCGCCCACTCTGTCGGTGTCTTCGACGAGCCTTTGACAAAGACTCAGGAGCTACCTTACCTCGAGGGGACGGGGGTGCCTGGCAGAGCTCTAGGCCAGCCCGGGCAGCCCCGCGGGGCAGCCGCTCGCTGTAGGAGGAGAGGGAAGGAAGGTCCCAGCTGCTGGTCCCGCCCCAGCCCTCCCGCCAGCACAGCCCCAGCTGCTGCTCCACCCCCAGCCCTCCTGCCAGCCCCCCGGAGCTCTCCCACCTCTCGGTGCACGCGTCGGATCAGCACGACCCCAGCAGTTAGAAATGTGCTTCCTGGACCAGCACCCTCCTTCCCGAGGGCGAGGAGAGGGGCTGCTCTCTGCTCCACTCAGACTCATCTCACCGCTCACCCGAAGGGCCTAAGTTTTCTTTGGGAAAGGGAGAACTTTAAACCATTGCTGCTTCTTGGATTCACCCGATCCAGCCGGTGCCACGCATCCGAGCACAGCCAGCCTGGGAGGCTTGCAGGAGTCCTGGGGGGTGGCAGAGGTGGACAGCACTCCTCGCGAGGACAGGGCTGAATGTGCAACCGCTCCTCTGAATGTCACTGTAGCCAAACTCTTTACCAAGCCTATCGTGCACTGTTAAAGACTCTGAGGCCACCGTACGGGCCTCAATGGTGTCTAATTGATGCCTTAAAATACACAAATAAGGAGCCCAGCTAAGGGACAGGGCCTGGAGGAGGTGAGGTTTGGAGCCACAACTGGATGCAGCATCCCGAACCCGCCGGTGTTTCCACGCTCGGCTGGCCCCACCTCATTCCCTGAGATCCCAGCTGAGGGTTGCTCTGGGGGTGCCCAGCCAGGCTGGATGACCTCACCTGCATCCATGCCACCCCTGTCCCAGGATCCAGGGGCTCTGTGGCTGCCCGTGGCCCCAGTTCCTGGTCCTGCTGGGGACGGGTCAGCCTGTCTGCGGTTCCCCTCTCTGCAGAGCAGATTCTGGGTGTGTGGAAAGGTGTCTTTCAGTTCTCAAACAAGAACAGTCCAGCCTTCTCACTGAGGAGGATTGCCTGGCATTACTTTTTTTTTTTGGGTGTTAATTTTTTGCCTTGTTTTTTTTTTTTGAGTGCTAATATTTTAATTTTTAATGACTTCATATCCTCTCATTTTTTACACTAGCCTGGCATCCCAGGTATTCCCCATCCCATCTGCCTGTAAGGCAGCAGAAGGGATGCAATTACTTTTCTCATTTGTTGATGAGATGATGACTGTGTCCTGGAAGATGTTCTCTCTAGGTGTGTGGGTGTGTGCATGTGTGAGATGCCATATGTACAGTGGAAACAGCACGGAAGGGACCATTTGCAATTAGAAACTCCCTGGCAATTAAGCAACCACTTTAACTAAAGGTTGTATAAATTAGTACTGTAAGTCACAGGCCTGTCCTAGACCCACCTGTGCCATGGGACCTCTTGGGTGGTGTTTTCAGTGCTTGTGCTGTAGGGTGTGTGTCTGAGCCTTGAACAGAGACATATGATCAGGTGTTCTCCACATTAGAGAGGAATGACTCAACCACTGGTACCTCAATAGTGTTCAAATGTAGCATTGGAAATATGGCCTAGCTCCTTGTTTTGAACTAATTCCTTCCCTCCCACCCTGCCCCTCCCCATTCCTTCTCGTTTCTCATTTTCAGAGTTCAGCTCTCACTTGTGGTGGTATTTGTTAGCCTGAATTTTCAAGTGGCTAGAGATTTCTTCTTTTTTCCTTTAGGCTGAAAGGAGAGTTTGAGATGAGACAGGGACTCCCCAGCTTGAAGACCATTTTCACAGAGATCTGGTTTCTCCTGGGCAGGTGCCTGCCTGTTCTACGAGCCCACTTACAGTGCCTAACCTTGGACCCCTGAAACGACCAGCAGCTTCTGAAAATCTGGGCTGCTTTTTCCCCTAGCCACAGTTTGGGCTTCTCAGGCTGAGGAGACCTTTTTGGCTTTTGGAACAGACTCCACATCTGCTTTTCTTTCCCCTCTCACTTGCCAAGCCTCTGCCCCAGCCCGTCGCAGCTCAGCAGCTGTCCCATTCCTCTGCCTTGCAGAGTACCCTGGGGATGCCCAGGCTCTGCTCCTGCAGGTTGCCTCTTGGGCAAGGTGGCAGGAGGGCTGCCCTGTGGAGGTCACAGGAATCTGCTTTGTTCAGAGGCAGGATGGAATGGGTGCAGTCTGCTCTCCTGCGTGCGCGTGGCTACGCATGGGCAAGGTCTCCATCCTTCCCATCCTGGTTTTAAGCAACATCAGGATTCTAGCCTTCTGCTGGGCTCGTATCAACAAGCACTTCAAGTGTGCCCCTGGCTCCAGGATGCTCTTTGAAGGAGGATCAGCCCCGTGGCTGTGTCAGAAGTGAAGGGTGCTGGTGGCTTTGGCTCCACGTGCTGAGGTCCTGCAGAGCCCAGCCAGCATTGTCCACCAAGGAGAAGCAGTGCAGGGCCAGAGGGGAGCTGCAGAAGGGAGAAACGGGGCTGATTTCAGAGGAATGAGTGGTTACAGCAGCAGCTGAGCATCTGCTCTAGCTCTGGCTGCTGTGGCATGAATGGGAGCAGCAGGCAGGCAAAAGCAGGAGGGGAGCGAGCAGTGTAGCAGGCTGAGGAGAATTTTTGTGCCATGTGTCCTTGGCCCTGGTTGTAATCTTCAGCAATTTTCACTATAAATGGTGTGTGATGCTGCCCTGCCTCTTGAGGAGCAGGAAAACAGGCAGTGTGACTCCTGTCACCCACTGGTGGGGTCCTGAGCAATATCACCTCCGAGCCTGTTCTGCAGGAACCCGGGGAGGAGGGAGCCTTTTGTGTCTCTGATCTTCTAACTATGCAGGTGCTCACTGCTCTCCTGTGAAAGAGAAAGAAGGAAGGAAAGGGCAAAACACTTCCCCAGCAGCTTGCAGGGGTCTGGAGCACCCCAACCCCACACTGTGTGGACACGAGGTGTCAGCATCTGCCCTGGGAGAGCCCAGGGTGGAATTGCTTCTGGTGCTGCCCATCCCTTGCTGAGGAGGAGGCCTCGGGGGGGATGTGTGTGTCTGTCTCTGTCTGTCTGTGCGTAGTCCCCTTATCCGGGGGGAGGAGAACTGTCAACTGTGTGTGGCTTCTCTGCCAGTCTTAGTTCGTGGTGTCTCACCCAAAACGTTCCCTGTGTGACGTCCCAGGGGGAGGAGCAGCCCCGGGCGGGTGGCTCCGGGCTGTGTGTGTTGATGTGTTTCACCCAGGGACCCCGGTGTCGCTGCAGCCCCATGGCAAGGCCAGGCAGGAGCCCTTGCCCCAGCCTGGGGAGAGGTTCCCTTGGCCTGGCTGGTGGGCAGACCCGGCCTGCTCCATGTCAAACCGTTGTCACTTTGATTTCTCTGTAAGTTATCTGACTTATTTATGTGGAACTCCGTTTCTCTGGATTTTTTGCACTACGTGGGATTGGGGTGGGGATACGAGCAATAGAAGCCAACGTGTACAATAAAGATGTTTTCTGGAATATCGGATCCTGCCTCTTGCATCCTTCCTTTCCACTTTTCTGGCCCCTGCAGAGGCAGGGAGCTGCTCTCTGTATGGCCCTGGGCAGAGGAGAGGATGGAGCCCTGAGCAGAGGATGTGGATGGGAGGGTGCCTGAGCAGCCACTCATGGGATGTCCCACTCATGGGATGTCCCACTCATGGGATGTCCCACTAATAAGATCTCATCTGCCTGGGTGCAGCCACTCCAACCATCGAAGCAGTTGCCCAGAGCAGGGGCAGACCCCCATCTGGAGACCACTTTGGACTGGCCTGGCCACTGTGGGCATGAGTAGAGGAGGGCAGAGGAGCCAAAGCCAGCTTTGAACAGGTGAGTGGCACTTAGCCCAGGTCCTGGCCTCAAGCTGAGCTGGCTGGTGATGGGTGCCTGCCTGGGGAGGCTGCTGACCTGTGGGCAAGGTGCTTCATAGTCCCAGGAAAGGTGCTGGGCTGTCCACTGCTCTGTGTGCCTTCACCCTACCCCAGAGAAAGAGCAGGGCAAGGATGCTGAGAGTGCTGGAGAGCGCTGGGAAAAGCCCAGCCCAGGGCAGAGGGACCTCAGAGGCAGACTCATTGACACCTCTCCCCACTGCTCTGACCCATTCTGGTTTGGTCTCCCTGGGCTTCCCAGCCTCCAGTGCTGTTGGCAGCTTTCCCCTGCAGTGGAAATGAAAAGCAGATGAGAAGCCTCCTCCTTCACCTCCAGGTGCCACATGCCCCTTGCCCGGGGGCACACGTGGCTGCTTGGCCCCACTCAGCAGCCAGGAGGCTCCAGCAGATCCCATCTGCCTTCCCTGGCTGCTCCCAGTCCCTGCTGCCTCTCGGGGAAATGCTAAACCCATTTCACGGTGGTGGGGGTGCTGGGGGGTGAGAAGAGCAACCCCTGGGGCCTGGAAGGGAACTTTCCCATGCCTGTGTCCTGCAGCCCTGCAGTTCAGCCACGGTGCTGGACAGTGGGCACGCCAGCCTTGGCTGTGTCCTCTTTCTCACCACTCTCTAGGCTCTTGCTTCTCTTTCAGGCTTCTATAAATAACTTTCCAAAGCCTGGAGCTTCACTGCTTCTCCACCTAGCTCAAATCCTCCTGGAAGCAGAGCAGTGGAGGTCTGGGGGAGCTTGCCCAGCAAGCCTGTGTGCCCAGCAGCCAAAAAGGGCGAGCTGGCCTCTGCCACTGGTCCCACCCAGCCCTGCCAGCTGTGGTGGGGTCACTGGTGTCCGTCCCAGTGCCCGAGATGATGCATATATGCAGGACCTGCAGTAACAGCTGGAGACAGGCAGTTCTACCACTATTTTGAGCTGTGAGGTTTTATTTAGCACAGAGATGCTGGAGGAAAGGCACATTTCTGGTCACAGCGCTGATCGTGTTAGCCATGGGTCTTAAGGGGAATCATATTTTCCTGAATAAAACACAGTTGTTGCTGTTCACTGTAATCTCTGGTCCCTGCCAGGAGGTGCTGGGACGTGGCTGTGGTGGTGGGGAGTTGTTTCCCAGCTGTGCAGACAGAACTGAACCTGCAGAAGTGCTCTGCCATAAAATTGATGGAGTT